CTGACCGGCGACTGCCTGAGGTGCCGGGATCCTCAGGCAGTCGCCGGCCAGCTAAATTAGGACCCCACCTGGAGCTCCTCCCACTGGACCAGCGCTGACTCGCCGCACCGAAGGTAAGTGAAAAAAAACATAGCGCAAACATCGGGGCATTTTGGCAAGTACAATTACTTGTCAAAATACCCTGTTTTTTCCGCCCTCAGCGCCGTAAGGCCGCCGTCTGACAACTTGCACCAGGGCCCTTTGTTCCTTAGGTCCGCCACTGAGGACGTGCAGTTACTGTGGCAGAAAGCTATAGAACACAATCTAGGTTCTGTCATCCAAGTTCTACATCACATACACAATAAACCTGCAAAGATGTGAAAGGCACTCAGACTTTACAAGTAGCTCAGCGGCCGTTTAAGTAGGGAGATGCAAGAAGGAGACCAAGACTTTAACGTTTTGAGATTGTACAGGAATTCTGAAATAAAAACTGAAGACCAGAATTTCATATCAAAATGTTTATTTCACTACAACTCATCAGGAGGACAATCTGCTCAGGACACATTTTCCAATTAAAGTGACCACAGCAGCAACAAGCACTAGACTGATGGAAGCCACAGCCACCAATACTGCCGGCTCTACAGGTTTGGACTCGGAGGACATACTGAAAGCCTGACCAAGCCCTGTTCTGATGGATGGCAGACTTGGTTCTCCAGTCACCAGGAGCGGGCCAAGAATGGCCTGGCCACATTCTTCTTGAGGACCTGCAAGAATGAGAAGTTTTTAATAAAGAGCTGTGAAGATGAGCAGTTGTCAGAAGTCAACATACTTTGAACCCATTTAGAAAATATGAACACAAGGACCATGTATTCTTGCCAGCAGTAAAGTGAGACCACCCAGGTCAAGTTTTACAACTGTCCAAAGAGATTTGCATTCTGAACATTTAGTGACAATATCAAGTGGAACATTTAGCTGAGAAGCCAGTCACAGCTGACAATTCTGTTTGCCTGATCAACACACCAACATGCTATTGGAACTGACTACATTCAGGGTGTAACATCCAGGTTTTTTTTTTAGCCATCTGTCCTTAAGGGGTTGAGGGTATAAGGGGCTGCTGCGCCACCTTTCCACAGACCATTAAATATCTGTTGCCTAGGCAACAGGGTTGTTTTACTAAGAGTTATTGCACCAAACTTTTGAATAAGAACAAAACGACTTACAAGCCCCTTGAATGATTTTATGTCAAAAACTTTAAGAGGGTCAGGAGTTGCCATTGGGTTCGGTTTCATGTGCCAAGGCTTCCATTCTCTTATACTCCTTAAATTAGAGTTAGTATGTGCTTATCAAGTCACTGATCCAAGTAGTGACCAAGGTCAGCAGCAGTGGTGGACCCAAGCAACAAAGGGCCCTGGTGCAAGATTGTTTTTTGGGCCCCCCTCCCAAAAACAAAAAAAACACATCGCTCTCCTCCCGCAGCGCTTGGCCGGTTTTCACTTTCTATCCTCCCCACTGGAACAGAGCAGCGCTCAGCGGGGAGGAAAGAAAGCAGGGATTCGTTGCTGTATCGGCAGAAAAATGGCATTATTGCTCTCACTGCGACGTTTGAGGCGATATGTAACATGTGCAGCACAATTGTCGTTTTTCGCACGCAGGCGCTCGAACGCGTGTGTATCTGGGGGGGGGCTTAAAAATTTTATTCCCTTTTTTTAAGTTATTTAATTTTAAAACACTTTTTGTACAATAACCCGATGGTATTACATAGGGGGCTAACAAGCACCCTGTGTAATAGCAGGTCCTCTTTATGGAGGCATCAGGGGTCTCTTAGACCTGCCCCGTCACCTAGAGACCCCAAACAAGCTGAGGAATCAGCTTTCCCAGCTTCTTGTCCTGGCTCCAAGAGCCGGAGACTGTACAGTGACACCAGAAGTGATGTAATACACAGCACTTCCAGGTCCAGTGATCGGAGAAGAGATCAGCGGCTGGAAGTTGCTGAATCTCTGATCATTGCGAGGAGACCCAGTGGCCGCTGCGGGCAGGCGCCACGGTACAAACGATCCGGCGGCTGTTCAGACACCAGATCGTTGTAAGTTACACAGCTATCGCCTGCTGTTAAAAGCAGTACCAAGAGCATGTTCTTATTTTAACCACTTCTGTGGGCCTTAGACGTACTGCAGCCCGGAAGTGGTTAAAGTGACATTAGTCAATTCCCCACCCCCCCTCATAGACTTACCTTGTGTCTTAGTCTCCTGGCCGAAAGGCCGAACTGTGTCCGCCCCAAGATGCTTTGCGGCCGCCCGAGCAGTTTCGGATTTCTGGACGGGAGCGCGCGGCAAAGACTGGGTAAGTTCAAACCGCTGTTAAAGCTTTTTTCCCCCCCCTGTGCCGCCCCAATGGGGCATAGAAGTTTATATAGATTGTTTTTCCTATGGACGTTTTTATATGTCTAGTTCCTATGCTGCCATCTAGTGGCCTTTGTGATATTGCACCTGTTTTTCTGTATGACAGTTGCTCTATATGTAAGCCCCACCCTTCGTTTTGTCAGTTTTCCTGTGTCATGGCAACAGCCACATGTAATCAGGAGACATGTACTCTGCATAGTACGCTAGGAAAGGCATCATTTTTTGACCGCATAATACTGTAACCAGCCATCTGCTGTTCACATTCAGAATAAAGCAACCTTTGTGGACGAACACTGTATTTGTGAGTTCAGCTGACAAGGATTGTCCGCAGTGATTGTATCTGCTTATACAGGCCGGGCTTAGAGGTCTCAACAAGGGTTAAATCGCTATCACAACAATCGGGAGTCAGAATATCCCCCTCAACTTTATGCATATATCTACTGCTTGCTACCCGCATATATATGCAAAAAAGCCAGAGGGTTTAATAACCCTTTAATACTCACCTGATCCCTGGAACGACCGACAAGCGCAGACTCAACTCTCACGCGGTCATTATATGCATAAAGAGCGTGTCAGTAACCATTTATACCGGTGCGCTGTGTGCAGCTTCTGAGAAGATACGCTATTAGCGTAACGGGGAAGCCTGCTGCGCATTTTGCATCGCTCCCGCTACGCTAATGACAGCATGAGAGGCGGGACGCTGCGCTTGTCGGTGGATCAGGTGAGTATTAAAAAAAGTTTTATTTTATGTTCCCGGGACAATTAATAATGTCCCAGGAACATAAAATAAAACATTTAAAAATTTATTTTACCTTAGCCTGGTGGTCAGTGGGGCTCTCTGGACCCTAGTTGTGTGGGTCTGTTGTGGCCGCAGCTGCTCCATCCCTCTGCCGCCCGCCTGCCCCAGGGCAAACTGACCGTGCTGCCATTACTGCAGCTCCAGTTCAACCTGCCCACATCAGTCCCGGCTCTAATTGGCCGCCGCTCGCTCCTGAAGGGAGGTCCTCTGGATCAGGCAGATGCGGCCACCTAAACAGGCACTGTAGAGGGCAGCCCCGAGGGGGCCTCCAGAGGACCCACTTCAGGAGCGAGCGGCGGCAGATTAGAGAGCCGGGTCTGATGTGGGCGGGCTGACGCTGGAGCTGCGGTGATGGCCCTCCCCACCACCCTCGCTACACCACCGGCCGGGAGTGTCAGCTACACCACTGGCCGGGATACGGATCCCGTGCTATCCGGCAACTGTGCTGGGGCCCCCGCCCCAAGGCTGAGGCCCCGGTAATTCCGCCACTGGTCAGCAGCCCCACAAAGTACTTCAGAAGCACAAGTACCGACAGCTTCTATACCAGTTTTGAGACTTTAAACAGAACTTACCAACATCCCTCTTCCAGTGTCCTCTTGGTCTTCCAAATGAGCCCCAATACCCGCTTCCATCAGACGGGGCACTGCAGGATCCTGTTTCACAGCACTGGCAGATGTTATCGGGGCCTTCCACCGCAGACCATCTAGAACAAAGTAGACATTGCAAGACAAGCCAATCTCTTTCGGCAAAGTTTGTCTTTCACACAAACTTATATCAAGTAGCACCATATACCAAACCCTGCAATGAAAATCTAGCCACGTTTTCCCACTCTGGAAAGACATTGCTATATTTTGTAAGTTATGCAGCTTTGGATACAACTGCTCCACCCCCCGCCCCCATCAATAAGCTACAGGTGCTGGACAGTGTTAAAAAAACAAAACACGAGGGTAGAAGTGGTTATGTGAAAAGCCATTGGTTACCTCAAAATAAGGCTCTAGGCATTAGTTCTAAGTTTTAGACACGTTCCAACTAGAGTTTGCATGGTTGGTCTACCAAATGCCACCAAGCCATTTGGAGGCTGGGAAGGTCTGCATGCAACCACTGGTTAAGTGCAGACCAACTTTTAAGTTTCCTGGACACTTTTAAATAAGCCATGGATGCTATACAGACCAGGAACAAGGCAATTGTCTGCAAGGATCTTCAGGTTTGCAATGTGACGGACTGAACTGTCACTGGGGCTGTTGGAGCCTGGGGGCAACCCTCCTTCCTACTGACTATGGAAGTAGGACTATGGAGACCCCCCCCCCCCCCCGCCTCCCGGGGTCATCTGGTGGT